AAACGGTCCCACATGGTAAAGAAGTGTCCTGCTTGCCATGTAGCTTCTGAATGCCCCCAGTGGATATTCACGCTAGCAACAGACCGGCTTATCATCCCCTGAGCCCAGGACGTCACTCTTTTTTGCACATAAACACAAAGGTATCTGTTTGGGGGCACGTTCTTACTGTACACTGAATTTTCTAGGTATGTCACTGCCGTGCACATCAAGCGGAGACTCTTCTTATTGTGTTCTGAAATTTACCAAGAATTTTGCACAATTTTAGAAAAAAGTGCTTCAGAAATATCAGAAGGCAGCTTGTGGTTTTCATGTCACTGGTATGACATACCTGTCTCGGTCTGTTTTTGTAGCCGTCAGTTCGCAATTATTCTAAGAATACGACTGCTTTGTTACGTTCCCAGGTGTAGTTGGTACCCAAGGGTTTACCTACTGAACTACATACATAAATTAGTTCTGTTTTTCCTTGTATTACAGTTTGGCATTATACAAATTTTTAAAAATTTTGTGTACTTGTGGGGCACCTGGGTGGCCCAGTCGGTTAAACACCTGCCTTCGGCTCAGGTCATGATCCGAGGGTCCTGGGATCGAGTCCCACGTCAAGCCCCACGTCAGGCTCACTGCTCAGTGGAGACTCTGCTTGTCCCTCTGCCCCTCCCCCCACTCGTGTGTGCGCACGCTCTAATAAATAAATATAATCTTTAAAAATTGAAAACAATTTAAAAAGAAGAATAAAAATTTTGTGTACTTGTGCACAGGTTACGTGAGCTGTGAATTTCATTTCAGGATGGTAGAGTGAATAGTAAAAATCTTTGTTTATAAAGAGGGAGTGGGTCTGTAGGGTTGAAAAACACGCTGAATCTTACCACACTCCCCTCCACAGATGAAGTAAGCAACTGAGTCAGTGTGTGTCCAGGTAGTTTGAACTCTCGTCACGTGGCACACAAGTGTGACTGACTATTACCAACACATTGGTAAAGAAGGCTGGCACGGGGAACTGACATGCCCCCGTCATCCAGCCATCCAGCTCTGAGTGCCAGCAACCCAATGTTCTTAGTCCTCTAGGCCCAGAAAGAACCACTAAACCCTCCACACTCGCAGGTCTCCCGATTGTTCTGTGGTTTTAGGAAGGAAGCCTGGATCTTGCTGTCCAGGACCCTGTGGAGAAGGAATGCCGTGGATTGACCAAAACCACTCTGGCTCTCCTCCACCCTCCCGTGCCCTCCTGGTCCATCTCTGCACTAGTCTGTCATATGCTCTCAGACATTTGCGTATACAGGCCTGCTGGGGGGTGGGGGGTGGAGGCAGACTGGGGGAGCACTCATTTCAGTGCAGAATGTCAGACCCCTCCCTCAGAGATTCGGATACAGGAGGTTGGGATTCGGTGACCTGCATGCAAAACAAATGCTCTGGATAATTCTGATGCAGGCGCCCTCAGAACCATGCTTGGAGAAAGAGGACCCGGAAAGCCAATTTCCTCACATTCTGTCCTTGGGTCCCAACTGAGTCTTTGGGTCCCTTCTTGTGACCTTAACTCTACCTCCTATGAAAAAAGCTTCCCCAGCCTATATCTGTGGTGTTCATTTTCCTCGGTTGCTCTGGACCCATCTCTAGCCCAGAGCATTTCCAACTAGACCTCTAGTTTGCAAATTAACGGGTTTAAGACACCCACGTCAGACACTTCCTCCGTCTAATGAGAGGAGAAATGCATGTAAACACGTAATCATGATGCAGCGTGGAAAGTGCTACAATAACGGGGCATGAACAACGCATAATCACATGCTGATTGTAAGCCAAGCGGAGGCACCTACTTCGTGGAGGGGACGGCAGCAAGAGGGAAGGGAAGCAAGGAGACAGACCAATCCCGCATCTCACACGTTGGAGAGGGGCAGTCGCAGAAGCATAGAAAGGACTGAGCCACTGAACCTTCAGACTAGGCCACGGCCTGCGGGCAAGGCCTCCAGGGAGGAGATGTAGTGAGGAAAGGGGAGAGTCAGCGGGGCTGAATTCTACTCTGCTGCCCGGGCCCCAGGGAGAAACGTCCCGAACAGCACAGGGGGGTGGTGGCAGCAAGAAAAGGGAAGGAAGGTAGACGGAGTCACGGAACCCGCTAAAAGAGCACAGATGCACCAGCCAGCTGGGTCCAGGCGGTTCACAACGGGAGGGCCATGGGACCTGTTAGAAGCTCAGAGTCCCCCTCACACTTTCATTCACCAAGTATAAGATCGTACAAAGCAGTTCCCCGGGGAACTGAGGCCACTCACCCCTGGTTTCGTTCTTGACCCACACGTTGATGGAATCACAGGCGGAGGCTGGATCCTCAAAGCTCACATTCTGGACTTCACACTGAAACACGTCTTTGTTCCGGGTGACAAAGGGCACCTCCATCTTGAAGCCGTTCTTCACAAACACTGCATTGGCCACGGTCACGATGTCCTTATTCTTCTTGGAGCTGATGGCCTTGTTGATCTTCTTTAACACTTTACCGACTCCTAGAGGAGAAATGGAAAAATGCAGCAATATTTCCGCGAGAATTCAGAAAAGCTGTTTTTTAAAAAAATATCTTTCTTAGTATGGCAAATAAAGAACAGTATAGACAAGATAAGCCTGAGTAGCAAGAGACTGAGTCTTGTGCTTCCTCAGCGGCCTTGTGTTAAGAAAAGGAGGGGCATCGGGCTCCCTGCTCAGCAGGGAGCCTGCTTCTCCCTCTGACCCTCCCCACTCTCATGTGCTCTCTCTCTCATTTTCTGTCAAATAAATAAATAAAATCTTAAAAAAAAAAAAAGAAAAGGGGGGGAGGGGATGGTAAAATTTATTAGTAGTTCTTAAAAGTCAGTAGTGCTTTTAGCACCAAAACAACATATTCAAGGCATCTCAACACCTTTCCCACGTAGACCTCGTCCTCCTGGGAGACTTTCTTGGTACCCGGTCACTAGGAAGACTGGCAAGCTCTTCCTTACATAGCCATGGGGAAATAAATCCAAGGAATCTTCCTAATTCATTCTTTTTCTTTCTTAACAATCTCTAGTGCTCTTTCCTGCCAAAAATTTAACACTGCGATTTCTTTTTTTACTATTTTGGGAAAAAAGATGAATAAAATAAGCATTAGAAAGACCATTAAAAATTGCCAGGTGCCACCATCCAAGAACAGTGTGGTTTTTACCCGGTCTCACGCTCAAAAAGCACGGGGACTAATTTTATGGCAATGTAAGCTTTATTTTAACACGAGCCATTCATACATACTCCATTTGCTTTTAGAACATGGAGAAGAGGAAAATAAATTATAAGGATGAAATGTGTTTCTGGAGTGAGCTCGAATTACAGATTCTTGGGTTACTCGCTTGGGGTCCTTTCAAAATGACGCTGTCCTAAAACAGCCTGCAGGGGTCACAGTGATGGTGTCCTGGAGAGCTGACCTGCCACACACCGAGTGTCTCTTCTGCAGACCCACTAAATAAGGGCAGGGTGAGTCGGCCCCGCGGCCCAGGGAGGTGACCTTTTGGCCCTTTGTTTGGCTTCTCATGACCCCACCTTTTGTGCTGTTCTGTGGGGCAGGCCTGCTTTATCGGTAAGGGAACAGCAGAGGCCAAGACCCAGCACCTGTCCCTTTTGGCCACATGGCCTCCTCCACACGCCTCTGTCTCCTGCCGGGAAAAGACTGGTGTAGATCTTCCTCCCCTGCCCCAGACCGTTCTGCCTCTGTCCTCGGTAAGAGCATCGCTATCCTGAGTTCTCAGAGGGCCTGAAAAACCACTCGGGCTCCCCTAAAAGAGTCTGTCTCTTGACGGAGCCCCATTCCACAACACAACGGCTAGTGATTCGGGAGAAAACAAGCGTGGGGGAAGGAAGCCACCCACAGGCAACATTGTCAAAACTTTAGAAATACTGCTTCGAATGAATGTGGCTCAGTGTGGAACAACAGAAGTCCAGTCCCTGCGTTGGAACTGTACTAGCTGACAGGGTCTCGATGGCACTGGTGAGGGCCATAAATTCTAGCAGTGATTCACCGGAAAGCGACAAATCACTAAGAGTTTTCTGAGTGTCCAAGCAAGGGGCAGAATGGTGTGTTCCAAGTACTAAGTCCTTCCATGCTTCTGATAAGTGATCCAACTGCAGATTCATGAGAAACTGAAGGCCATGTAAACAGAGCGGGGCAAGTTTAGGCATTTGGGGCTGGCAGCTCAGGAGGTGACACTGAACACAGCCACCGAGGGGCATGGAGTGAGGTACGGAGTTCTCGAACCCCCGCCTGTCCCTCTGGTTTTCCTCTCCCAGCCAAAAGCATCAATGCAGTCAAGATTCCTAGAACTTTATGAGGCTAACAGGAGTGGAAGAACATGGAAAGGGCAACTCCCTCGTTTTCCAATAAAGCAGCGAAAACTCTGACGTGCAAAGGGACTCGCTCAGGGCCACGGTGCCCAGTGGCCCCAGAGGACGGCTGCGGGGCCCGTTCTGCTCCCTCACACGCGGCCCTCACTCAAGAGGCGGGTGCAAGGTAGACTCTGGGGGATGAAACCAGAGCAGGAGCCATGAGGCACCACCGCTAGGAGACAGAGACTCTGAAGTGAACACAGATAATTCAAAACAACAACTGAAACCTTTTCCATTGGGCCCGACTTCAAAAAAAAATTTTTTTTTAGCTTTTTATTTTGAAATAATGATAGATTCATGGGAAGTTGCAAAACAATATACAGGGTTATCCCCTGTGCCTTTTGCTCAGTTTCCCCTAGTGGTAACACCTTGTAGGACTACAGCACAGTATCACAACCTGGAGACTGCGTGGTGGCGCTCACAGAGCTCATGCACGCTGCATGCCTTTTACAGGGATTTGTGTGTGTGTGTGTGCGTGCGTGGCTCTCTGCACTTCTCTCACCCACACAGATTCATGTGGTCACCAGCACAGTCAAAACACTTCCAGCATTGGCACATCCATCCTGGATGCCAGAATGGCACCGGAGAAGCCCCTCCGGATGCAGGACTCGCTTGAGGCCCCAATGGCCAGAGCCCACGGGGCACGCACCATTCACGCTGTATCTCATCACCGTGGTGAGCTGCTTCTTGGTCCTGCCGTCGGCTCCCAGCTGAAGCATCCCCAGGACAGACGCGATCCCGTGGGGGGACACGACCACGTTGTCATGAGGCCGGGATTTGACGATTTGATTGAAAACCTGGATTCCTGTGTTGGAGCCTAGTTCCTCCAGAGACAGGGGGTTGAACTGGGAGCACACGGAGGGCAACGTCACTGTGGCCACAAGGAAGAAGAGAAAATGCCAATTCATGGTTCCTTTCGGCAATGACGACCTGAAAAATTAGATTAAAAAAATATGTGAATTCTTAAATGAACACCTTTGGGGGGGACTACTTTATATTCAACTAGGTATGATTCACTGTACTCAGTATAATTGAGTGCTTTGTTAATTTATTTAAAATAGAATAGCATAGATCAAGCAGTTTTTGCCATATTTTGTCAGCGGGTTGGGGGAGGGAGTGGAAGGAAGCCTCCACCTGGCAGGCTCCCAGTTATGTGCCATTCAATCTTACAACCATCCTTCACCCAATTGAAGCAGTATTTACTGAGAACTAGCATGTGCCAGGCCCTTTTTGAAGTGCTGGGCATACAACTATAAATAGATGGGCAAGACCCCTGCCTTCCTGGAGTTTACATTGTAGAGGGGAGACAGAAATCAGCCAGTAAGCAATAAAGTAACTTCAGAGAGGGATCAGGACCCCGGAATAAAACACTGTGTCTGCAAACGAAGGACGAGGTGGGGACAACATGAGGGACAGCATGGGAACAGTTGTGATGAGTCCCGAATGAGAAAGAAGCATCCCCCCCAACCCCGCACCTGCCCCCAGCACATGGCCACTGAGGAGGGAGTTGGGGGAGGACGTGAAGAGGAGGAAAGGCCCATAACCCTAAGGCCCAGAGACCCCAGTATGTATGGCTCTTGGATTTCCTTCTAAGGGTCACAAGAAACCACAGGAGGATTTTTAAAAAAGGGAGTGAATCCCTCGGGTCACTATGACTACCTTATAACCCTATGTCCTCAGACTTTTTTTTTTTTTTTTACCATAAGCATGTTACTTTCTTAATTAAGGGATTGTTAATTAAAATAAACTTAAATGATACTCTTAGATCTACAATAGGGCAGAACAATTGGTAAATTTGTCAATTGTAAGAATGGCACTGTTTACACAGATATTCTCAATTACAGTGATTTGTCTGAAATAGATCTGAAAGATTTGTCTGCTTTCTTCCTTGATTACCACTTACTGAACTTCCTTCGGCTGTGACAAGTAAGAGGTAAAAGATTTACATGTATTTACGGAAAAGCAAATACTGTCATTAAATAAGAACTTAAAAGAGGCAGTCGGCAAAACAAAAGCAGAATTCGTGATGTGGCTAATTTGGTTCCTCCCTTGGGGACCTGAACTTCTGCGAAGCACAAGTTTCCAGAGGAGCCAACGTGCCCTCCTGGCATGTACATGGGAATGTCTGTAAAGAATAAGAGGGGGAGCCTTTTAGGAAACGGGAGACCTGAAGTGCAGGGAAAGAAGGTCTCTGTGCTCCAGAGAAAAGCATACCGGGAGCGTTAGGCAAAATTGGCATTCGGGGTTTTCCTTGTCTTCCTTTCTATGCATCTGTCTTGCTTCCTACTCCAGGTCATAGTAAATGTTCAATAAATACATGTGAGATTAAATGTGATGGCTTATATACTTTCAGTTTTTGTTAATTATTTTTTTACTGCATCAAAATAATATTTATTGAGCATGACTGAGAAAATGATCGTGTTCCATCCCGAGCCTCAGAGTGTGCTTCAAACATTTTCCGAGGAGAGTGAAATTCGCTGGGTGCAGAGTTCCCCACCTGCACCCCCCAACCCAGGGCCACAGGAGAACCACTAAGACCATCATTCAAGGTGATGTTACAATGTTCTCATATGTTGTGAAACAATCACATTTTAAAAAATTTAGAACATACAGGCTTCTCCAGGGCTTAATTGGTAAATAAGTGTGTTAAGACAGCCTGTCTAAATTCAAAACATGCAAGTGACCTACATACGCTCCTACTTGGGGCTTTCCTATGGCCAGCATGGCCTATTTTGACTTTGGCACCTAGGACTGGTTCTAACACCATGACAATCCCCTGAGTTTCTTTCAGCCTGCTGGACGCTGGAGACTTCCAAATGCTGACTAGGGAGGCTTTACTCATTCATCTAAAAATTAGACTCTGTGTCCTCCTAGCCTCCCTCCCTCCCCTCTTTCTGGAAATAAATCTCCTCTTTAAAACTTAATATGCCACAAAGCCATCACGAGCATAAAACAATCCACACAATCTTTGTTACAAATGGTCAAGTCCGGTCACTAGTGCCAACTTCATCAATCTGGATTGTTGACTCTTGCATCACAGTGTACCCCAACATTACCTCCTGTTTGCCTACTCTCTACTCCCCAAGCCTCCCAAAGAGATCCTCCTGGATTAGCAACTACTTGAATAAAATATTTGAATCTGCACACTCAGAAAGGACATCAAATTGGTTTTGCCTCTTATAGCTTAAAGTTGATTCACCCACATGCTACAGATTTATGTAGACGACTATAAAACAGGTAGAAAGGATCAGCAAGAGAAAAATTTAACAGCTCCAATGTCTCAGAGTCAGCAAAGATCGTCTCCCAAATAAATAGCCAACTTATTTAGCAGAATTTTGCTTGGTTATGACTTTTTGCTAAAAGAACAGTTTCATTATGAAGTGGCGGAAGTGTTTTTCTTGGTTTCTTGGATTTGGGAAGCTTTTGAGGGATGTCTATGTGCAGTCTCATAACAGCGCACCGGGACAGTGTCAGGGCTATGCAGGACTTGGAATCGGAGCTATTTTTGATTGATGCTCTGGGCATGACTTCTTCTTGGCCTCAGTTTCCTAGGCTAAATGCTCCCTAGTTTAAGATCACCTGGCTTACGTACATGTTTGAGACTAAGCTTTCACTCCTCTCCAAAGTTCAGTAGGCAGGAGAGCGGTGCTGATTCATAAATTACTTTGGCTTATAAAATTCTTCTTTTTTTTTTTAAAGATTTTATTTATTTATTTGAGACAGAGAGAATGAGAGAGAGAGAGAGAGCACATGAGAGGGGGGAGGGTCAGAGGGAGAAGCAGGCTCCCTGCCGAGCAGGGAGCCCGAGGCGGGACTCGATCCAGGGACTCCAGGATCATGACCTGAGCCGAAGGCAGTCACTTAACCAACTGAGCCACCCAGGCGCCCGGCTTATAAAATTCTTAACTGATACGTATTCATATCCAAATAGACAATCTTTTACGTGAAGTAACTGCTGGAGTTAATCAGGCTCTAAAATGCTTACTCTCTACAATAAGCAGATTCTCATTATGGGAAGAACATAGTAACCTCCTGTTTATTTTTAGGAGAAATTATACTTAAAACTTTCAAATAAGAGAGAAGGAATAAAGCTGTTGCCCAAATGTATTGCAGATCATCAGTATGGAAGATTATAAATCTGTTTAAATGTTTCCATTTCTTGAATAATCTTTTCATAACAGTAAAACACACACACACACACACACACACATACCAAGAGTCTGGCTGAGGCCATCACTGGAGGGGGATCATAAACCTATAAATAAAGCTATCACCACAGGCATAACCTTTCAAATGTGGGATTCTCTTTCCCCACGTACTTCTAGTGTCTCTTACTCCAAGCCTTTCCTTTCCAGTGTGGGGGATGTCTGGGCAGTAACTGGGGACTGCTCTGAGCTTCAAGTGAGATTTAGTGTAGTAAATAACAGAGTTGGTGGTTTTACAAACGCCAGATCTGGAGCACATCCTTACATTTAGCACCGTCTCCCTTCCCAGTGGCAGACATTAGAGAAACACAGCCTCCCCAGACGCCATCCCTTCAACCATCACGTCCACACAGCCGGTGCTCAGATCTGAGGCTCAGATCCTCAAACCCTCTGCTGAATTTCAGGCTCATACTTTCATCTATTTGCTGCCTGTGTTCACCTGACTGTTCAGAACATTATCTTGGCCTGGAAAATCCTTTGTAGGTGGATTATGGAGGGCCACTGGTCTGTGAAACCTGCCAACTGTCCTCTTAAAGGGTCTCGGCCTGGGTCTTGCCTGTGTGCTCACATCTTTGCTTCTCTCCCTTACTCTCCACCTGGTGACACCAGTGCTCTCCCATCTCCGATCACAGCCTGTGGGAGGCTTCCCCAGATTGTCCCAGAAGGGTCCATTTACCCCCTCCTCTGAATTTCCACAGTATTTCCTATCTGTACCTTTCATCTTGTTTTTCAAGTGTGCTTCTCCCTCTCAACTAGACTGGAGGCTCACAGAAAGCAGGGCCACGGGACTTTAGAATCCTAGTGGCCACGGGGTCTTCTTCAAGGGCCTTGTCATTGCTAGTCACTGAATCAGAGGTTGACTCATGGGACGAACCCAGCTGCTCAAATGTTTGGTTTGGAATAAAAGGCACTCTAAAAATATCTTAAGCAACTACAAGTTAGAAGATGTCATATATGATCTAGATTTAGGGTTATTCTCAGGAAGAAATGAAAATGAATGGGACCCTGGTAACACCGGGCCCTCCTTCTTAGGGCAGACATCTTGCACAGTAACCACCGCTAGGGGCTGGGCGTGAGCTCCCTCCCTCTGCTCCCAGCCGCCTTGTCCACCGCTTGCCACCACTCACATCACCTCTCCAGGCTGTGAAAGCTTGTGGCCAGACCCCTGCACTGAATGAGTGCTAACTGATTCAACAAGGGCAGATTAACCCAGCCGGTCACAAAAGATGACACTTGTTTTCAACCTAATAGTCTTTTTTTACAAAATAAAATATATTTTACATATAATACATGAGCAAAAGATAAATAAAATGGTATCTGTCAGCTCAAATGATAAATGGTAGGGTATCTGTCAGCTCTATTTAGTATAGCAAATAAGATGTATGTGAACAGTTTTGGGGGAAACACTGGAATACTCTTCTGGCTCCAACTCTTAGCCAGATGATTCACATCTGTTTTAGGAGGACCCAGGAGTGTCGAATAAATGGCAAGTATTCCATCCTTTCTCATTCTTTAAAATGTTTCAAGTGATATATTTTATAAAACCTATGTATCAAAATCTTTATATCATGAAAGATTTTAAATATATGAAAAATAATGTAAATCCCTAGTACCCAACATCCTTTATAAAATAATGATCAACTCATGGCTTATTTTATTTCTTCTAAAATCAACAATTGTACTGAAGCAAATTCTAGACATCATATAATTCGAAATATTTTCAAC